AGACCCTTCTCCAGAAAAAAAATAATGTTTTTCTGAAGAAGGGTCTAGGCCCGAAACGTCAGCCTTCCTGCTCAGCCTGCTGTGTTCATCCAGCTCTACACCTTGTTATCTGAGAACCTTGTTGTGTCACCTTTCAATCTAAAAATGTCAAGTGCTCTGCAAACATAATCAAACACTGGAATTAGTCAGCACCTACCAAAAATGATCAGAATCACTTCCAATGTACTTTGCATAAATTACATTACTGTTATCATGAGAGTAAACATGGCAACCATTATTGTTGCACAGCATGGGCCCCAATCACAAAAAGTGATCAACACTGCCACACAGGAGTTTAAGTATCTCATCTGACAGTATGCACTGGGATGCCAACTTAGATTGTGAAGTCAAATTTGGATTCTCAAACCTTCTCAGTCAAGAGATGAAAGTGCAACCAAACTGAGTCAAACCCAACACAACTCTTCTTTACACCTTAGGGTTATTAGCACTGAACAGCAATTGTATCATTGTGCTGCATACATGTAAATTACAGCTGTATCTTGGGGAGGGCACGTAGAAATATCACTTGGGTTCTGACAGTGCAAGAAGGACTCACTCTCATGCAAAGATCGTGGGGGCTCACAGGGCTTCTGTCACCCCCAACCCATGCCTTCTGAAAGCCTCAACTTCTTCTGGAAATGCTCCACAGTCACAGGCAACAACTACAAGTCAACCATTGGCCCGAACTGGTTAACAATTTTCCTCATTGTTCAGGCTTGCAACATCAGATCCATCACGAGTGCCAAGGCAGCTCTGCCCAAACTCATACATAAAGGCCTAGCTATGTGCCAACATGCTCAGTTTTGTAAACAACATATACAAATACTTTGAACACAATCGTGCTGTAAGCATTGCATCAAAGAAGCAGCTTCAGAGTGCACAAAATACAAACTGTACAGAATCAGCACTACCACACCAGCTGGATTGCAATTACTTTGTGTCCCAGTTGCAAGCCCAAAGGCCTGGTGACATAAAAGCCGCTCGCTTACCGGGAGAAGTTGTCTTCAGATCCGGGTGCCAAGGCACCAGTTGCTGGCACTGCATCAGAAAACACATCCACCAACAGGCTGCCTCCACTGGCAGGAGCGCTCTTCAGACCCAGAAGATCAGCAGATGGAGAGGGCGTGGACTGCAAGGGGGACAGAGAAGACCAAGGTAAAACAACCAGAAATAATTTCTGCAGCTCACAGTTACATTTACGAAAACAAACACAAATGGCCATGGTAGGTCGGTTTACCCTAGCACAAAATTGAGGAATATCAGATCAACCAAAGGGACTACTTTTGCTCCTACATTTAATGGTCTAGAGCTACAGGAGTGGAGTGAATTGATCTGCGCTTGAATTAAAAAAGAAATCTGGGGAAACAGTATGCCAGTGAATGAGTGATCAATCTCCAGATTAGAATTTGCAAGAAGACCACGGAACCAAGTTGTATTGAGTCAGTAAAATGCAAACTGGATAGATTTCATTCTTTGGTGAATCAGGCATCTGAGAATCTCAGGATGTGTGGCAAGTGCAACTTGGGAGTGATCCATGGTTCCAAAAGCTCTTTGTTACTCAGGGTTTTTGCTTTCATGGCGTTTGGTTCTGTTGCAGACTCGTGAACAGCGATTGTTGTGATTACACAACAGCTCCGTTACGCTGGTACCGCGTGGCTAATGATTACATTGCATTTTAATGAGGTCTCTACAGCCAAGGTGACTCACTTTGTAACTGGTCAGTGCCCAGAGAAATTCCAAACACTTCTTGGACAGGGTTTACCCAAACCCATTCTTTCAAATTAGTTAGACTGAAAACACCGGGATTCTGTGGGTCTAGCAACATCTCTGGAGATGTAGAATAAGTTGGGATTTGGGGCCTGAACATAACAATGAAGGAAGGGTACGTTTCTGTTAACTAGGTCACTTTTGTTTCTGTTTCAGATTTTTCAGCATTGCTTTCTGTGTGTAAGTGGCTGTGAGCAAGGTTTCTTATTCTGCATTGTCTTTCCTTTCCTTCACATCTCACCTTTAGCAGGCAGAAACACACAGAATGTCAGAACAGTTTTGAAGGGCTGAATGGCCTAGTCCTGAGTTAACATTTCAGATTGGTAACTTTTCATAAGAACCTATTAACCCTGTTTCTCTCCCCGCAGGTGCTGCCAGAATGCTGAACATTTTCAGCTTTTATTTCATGCTACAAGTTAGAAAAAGTGAGTCACCTTGGCCATAGGGACCTAGTCAAAAAAACAGCGTAACCATTAGCCATGCGGTACAAGTGTAACAGAGCTGCTGTGTAATCACAACGATCATTGTTCACGAGTCTGCAACAGAACCAAACTCAATGAAAGCAAAAGCCATCCAAAGCGCTCTCAAAATATTTTAACTGAATCTGCCTCCGCGCTTCCAAACAGTGCGTTCCATTGGACCCATAAACCTGATTCAGAAGGGAGTGCGCCAACACAGTCAGGCTTGTGGCTTTTTAACCTGTGACAGCAGATACCGTACTCACCACGGTACTGGCATTCACAGCTGGCTCAACGCCACCATTGACCTCTGTTTGTTCCTTCTTTCCTTCCTCCATATCCGTCACAGTGCCTGGTCCCTTCTTTTTCTTGAGCTTTGCGAGGATGGAGGATTCCCTTTCAGGGAATGGGGGCATCTCTTCTAAGACAGTAGCCTGCAGAGGAGAGGGCAGGAAGAGAAGTTACTTGGACTGGGGCTCAACTTTAATAACTGATCACACCATTCATGCAGAAATACAGCGCAATGGGTATCATTGGCCCTTAGGTTATCTTCACTCAAAATTACCAAACCAGAGTTGTGAATCTTTGGCATTCCCTGACACACATTATGGACTCGACACTCAGTTGCTGAATATAGTCAAGGATTACATCAATATATTTTTAGGAATTAAGGGAATCAAGGTACACAAGGAAAAGGTGAGAAAGTACAGTCACTGGAGCAGGTCAACCATGGTTTTAGTGAATGACAGTGGGAGTCTGACATGCCTGTTCCTGCTCCCATTTCTTATTTTCTTTTGTCTGCATCGATGAGCTTAGAACTGGCAGATGTTTTTATTATGGAAAGCATCACAGGTGGCCCCAAGCTTTCCACTAGAGATCACTGCGAAGCAATCAGAAAAGGAAGCCATAATCTGCTGTCCCTTTACTTACTTCCTGCAGTCCAACAAGAGAGCAGCTAACAGCACTGACTCAGATGAGGGACATTCTAGTTTGTCTTGCTGACAAGACAACTGCAAGCAAACTGTTACTGTATTTAAATGGCTCATTCAAATAATTACCCAGTGTGCAACACAACCCTTTAATCCTGGTATGGGGAGTGCCAGCCTAGATTATGCGCTCAAGTCTTTTCAGTGGGGGGTTCGAACCCACAAGTTCTAATTCTGAAACAGTTCTTTGTATCTAATCTGAAGCAGCAACACTGAAGAAAGTCTGAGGCATGGGCTTTATACGCACCAGGACATCAGTACTGGCAATTGAGCTGAGCTTGAGGTACTCCACGGCCCTCTGCTGGAGTTCCACATCAGAGTTTCGGAGCTGGCTGTCACTGCGCAGCACATCCTGGATTGTGGTCTTGGTCTCAGGGAAGAGGTTGACAAACTTGATGTAAGAGGACAGCAGCAGTGCGCGGGTCGGAACGCTGCACAAGTGGAACTTGGAATGCAGCAAGTTGAACTGAACCAAGGGGCTGAAAAGGACAGGCACAGCAGGGAGGAATAAAACACATTAGAAATAACCAGAGGCAAGCATACCGACTGAGATAGTAAAGGAAAAGACCAACTATTCACTGAGCCGGTCACATAGTTTACAGCACCTCAAGCATCACGATTCGCAACATCCACCCAAATTCACAACCCACAACCTGGAAGAATAAAGGCAGGTCCACTACTACTTGGATATACCTCAGCCATTCTTTCATCACTCCCAGGTCAAAACCCTTGGACTACCTTCCTAAAAGCACAGGAGCACTTCTACCACATAGCTCACTGCTACCTTAAAAGGCAATTAGCGAAGGGCAATACGTGCTGTCCTTGCCAGTGATACCCATATACCAAGAGTGATTTCTTTCTTTCAAAGTGTCCCGGGACAGACAAAAGAAACCAGGCGCAGTGTTGCACTTCCCGTGAGTTATTCTGTGCAGAAACACACAGTTAATAAACCACTGGGAGAAGGGAAAATAAGAAACTGAATTTCAGTTCTGTGTTCTACTCTTAATTCATCAACATAGGAAATTCCCACTTTCTATTTTTAATGTTGTGTCAATATATATCTTGCGTAAAACAAAAACAAAAACACAGAGAAACAAATGGCAGCCAAGTCAACATCTGTGAAAAGGCAATTTGGTGTCTCCCTTCTTTAGAACAAAGAAAAGCCCCATTATCCAAGTACAAATAGTTTGACAATAATTGTCAATATCCAGAGTTGGGAGACGACACACGGTCTACCCTATTTTTAAACAAATGTCATCACTTCAATTAGTATATTTTTTGGTCAGCAGTAAGTGCAGAGATGTGGAACATGCATCACATCTGAACTGCACACAAGGCAAGAACAGGAGGCAAATGGAAACAGCACTGCCTCCAGGTCACATACCATGGCAACATGGACAAACACCAGTCATTATTTCATCGTCACTGGGTCGAAAACTTGACAATACCTTCACCATACAAAGTACAGCAGTCGAAGGAGGCAGCTCACCACCAATTTAAGAGAAATTAGATCCAACAATGTCAGCCTTGACTGTGACATCCCATGATAAATTATTAAAAAACACACAGACTGGGGAGGAGGAGAAGCAATGTCATCAGGTGCTGAGCACAAGTACAAGGTAAAAGTAGTTCAGGATTTACATTGAAATAAGAGATGCCCCTCCAAACTTGGAGGAAATGTAACAGAAACTGTATGCTGTACCGGCTCAATGCTACCTCAGGTGTTTGGTGCGTACATGAAATATGGACAAACAATCATCACAGAACAAAACAATTCACGTAACAAGGTGCAGAGCTGGATGAACACTGCAGGCTAAGCAGCATCATAGGAGCAGAAAGGCTGACGTTTCGAGACTAGACCCTTCATCAGAAAGGTCTAGTCTCGAAACGTC